GTCCGTCCGGCTCTCTCCGAGCCTCCCGCGGACCCTGATGAAGAGGAGCCGAGGGCGGGGGCGGCTTATAACCTTTCCCCAGCCCACTTCCTACCCTGGCACCTCCTTCCAGTGACGTCAAGGGGTCCCCCACCCCTCATCCGCCTCCCCATCTACACTCTTCTTCCTCCAGGGTTGGCTTCCCTGCGGCTCTGGAGGGGGCGGGGGCCGCCGAGGGCGGGTGGCGGGGGCCGACTGTGCCTGGGGAGGTGCTGGCTGTCAGGGTCCAGGAGCGCGGCCCTGACAGGTTCTAGGTCCTCGCTACGTGCCCTCCTGCCCACAGCGCTCAGGAAATCCTTGCAGGCTCCCTCCACCCGGCTTACTCAGCTCTGGGGGCCGTCCGAAACTAGAGAGGGGACAGGCTGGAACTCCACCGCCCGGCCCCTGGGGCGGGAAGTCCGATCCAAAGGAAGTTGGCCGCGCCTCCACGACGGTGTCCTTGGCACCGAAGAGCAAGGCGCAGTCGGCCCGCTCCCCTTGCCTGCTCTTCCCGCGCTGTCCCTCCTCCCCTGACCCCGCCAGACTGTCCCGAGACGTCTAGGAAGGCGCCAGAGACCCTCAACGCAGGGCGCTCCGGACCGGGACAGTCCATCGGGACCGGACGGTTGCCTGGCACCTTGGGGAAGTCTGTGGACCAGACTCAGTTCCCAGGGCAGGGCCCCTGTGGCTTTTTCGGCCGCGCTAACGCACCCGCCCAGGTCATTTCCTCCACCCTGTGTTTCCTAGAAGCAAAACAAGGAATGACACCATGATACCTTTAAAAAGCTGAGGCGTGAAGCTGCTCCTGCAGTTTGTAAGAGCTGAGCACTTAAACTTTATTTCTTGAATACTCGAGAAAGAAACTTCACAGCGACAAGATGAGTGTTTCTGCTGCTACCAGAACAAAACCCGGGGGAACTAATTTGTGACAGTAGATTATTTGCAATGACCTTAATTCCACATTGTTTGTTCCTCAATTATATCTCCATCAGCTCAAAGGCTGAAGTTGTCTTGGGTGTCACAGGGCAGCCCAGTCTTGTCCCTGTAAATACTGCACGTTTGAAAAATAGTCCTACTGGAACCTGACAGATGGTCTTGATAAAAGAGACTGTGATGGCTCGTAAATGGGCCAGTGACTCTTCCTGAAGGACTGGACTCCCTCTCCACCTGGGAAGATTGGG